CACCAAGAACTTTTCAGAACAATTATCATCGTATGTATTCCATATGTCAGTCGCTGCCTCTCCTCCGTCACGCCTCAGACCATCTCGCTCTCCACCACATAAGTCTTTTGACGGGAATATTAAGCGAAATACTGTTTTGTGTAGTAAATTAGCTTTTTGAGACGGGAAGGGGAGGAATAGCTGAGGAAATGGGGAGGGGGAAGTAGAGAGGAGAGGGTAAAGAAAGGGGAAGATGAGAGAGAGGTGGAGGAGAGAGAGAGAGGGGGGGAGATTGTTGGGATAGAGAGAGAGAGTAGATAAGGGGAGAGAGAGGGGAGGTGGAGGGTTTAAGGGAGAACAAGACCCAGGACCAGCCGGGTACTCCATCTAGTATACAATGAAACACACGAGGATGTTCCTATATGTATACTGAAGTACATAATGCGTGTTCCTAAATGTATATATGAAGCGTGTTCCTACATATACACTGAAGCACATGTAGCGTGTTCCTACATATGTACACTGAAGCACATGGTGGTGTTGCAACGGCAGGTGTGGACACCAGCCTGCAGGTGTGAGTCACACCTGGCTGGGTTTACCTGCTTCAACTTCGATCAATTTCGTCGCAAACTGGCAAAATATCGATCGTTTCTTGTGAGTGTTGAGACAATAAGATGCTTATCTTAACATACTAACCAGGTTAGGTAAGGTCGGTGTTTTCTATGAATCTTTTTAAGGGTATCTATTATGTTTAGTATATCACCTATGCACGTAGTTAATAAGTCAATATTGACTTTACGAATTTGGGAGAACGGGTTGGTTGAGACTCACCAGTTTGGGCCACGCCGTTCATAACACGTAGTGTACAAAAAAAGATATAAGTGTCCAGTTGCACATTGATGTCTTGTTGCACATTGATGTCTTGGTGCACATTGATGTCCAGTTGCACATTGATGTCCTGGTGCACATTGATGTCCTGGTGCACATTGATGTCCTGGTGCACATTGATGTCCTGGTGCACATTGATGTCTTGGTGCACATTGATGTCTTGGTGCACATTGATGTCCTGGTGCACATTGATGTCCAGTTGCACATTGATGTCCTGGTGCACATTGATGTCCTGGTGCACATTGATGTCCTGGTGCACATTGATGTCCTGGTGCACATTGATGTCCTGTGTCCTGGTGCACATTGATGTCCTGTGTCCTGGTGCACATTGATGTCCAGCTTCGTTTAGAAAGATTCTGGAAAACCGCTTGGCTTGGAGGAGCAGTTTATTATCTTCTTATCTTGAGATGATTTCGGGGCTTTAGTGTCCCCGCGGTTCTGTCCTCGACCAGGCCTCCACTCCCAGGAAGCAGCCCGTGACAGCTGACTAACTCCCAGGTACCTATTTACTGCTAGGTAACAGGGGAATCAGGGGTGAAAGAAACATTTTTCCCATTTGTCTCCGCCTCCACCGGGGATCGAACCCGGAACCTCAGGACTATGAATCCGAAGCGCTGTCAACCCAGCTGTCAGGCGCTCTAAGGTTACAAATTCGAGAAAAAAATGATTTTAGCTTGAAACAATACAATGTAATTGTTTTTGTTAAGGTGCCCCTTTGTTGCCTATGCCCCTGTTACCTAGCAGTAAAATAGGTACCTGGGTGTTAGTCAGCTGTCACGGGCTGCTTCCTGGGGGTGGAGGCCTGGTCGAGGACCGGGCCGCGGGGACACTAAAAAGCCCCGAAATCCTCTCAAGATAACCTCAAGGAAGGTCAGTGGGTCAGTGTGTGAGGTTGTTTAATTAATCCTTCCTCTGACAACCTGCTGTCCCTTCCCTTAGCCTGTCCTCTTACCTGTCCCTCCTCCTCTGAGTTGCATCTCCACCTCACTCCACCTCTATTCCTTTACATGTGCGAATATTGTTATGTGAGACAGTTGGTAAAATAGTGGGCCTCGGAAGAATTCTTGTTGATGTAATATATTAAATAACTCTTGAGCAGGGATTAAGTTGATTCAAGGGGATATTAATAGTCAAGATAATGCACAATGAAATCACATTGATGAGATGTGTTAATGATTCGTCACGTTAACTGCTACTGATTTTTTTTAGTCAAAAGAACCGTAATGTAAAGCAGCAGCAGCAGCACAATAAAGAATTATGCATAAATAGGAACAAATTCTCTCCCTGCCTCACCTCTATGCCTCCCTACTTCCCTCACTTCCTCCCCCACCCCCCCTCTACATCCCCGCCCCCCCACCCCCCTCCTCTACCAGTGTCATAAACCATTGTTTGTAAACATAAAGTGTCCAGGAGATTAGGAGGGATATTCTTGGACTGTTAGTAATCTTTTATGGCTCATTCAGACAATCTTGTTTGGATGCGTGTTTTATTATCGTGCGCGCGCGCGCGTGTGTACTCACCTATTTGTATTCACTTATTTGTGCTTGCAGGATCGAGCATTGGCTCTTGGATCCCGCCTTTCCAGCCATCGGTTGTTTACAGCAATGACTCCTGTCCCATTTCCCTATCAATGTGTGTGTGTGTGTACTCACCTAGTTGTGTTTGCGGGGGTTGAGCTCTGGCTCTTTGGTCCCGCCTCTCAACCGTCAATCAACAGGTGTACAGATTCCTGAGCCTATCGGGCTCTGTCATATCTGTGTGGGTGTGTGTGGGTGGGTGTGGGTGTGTGTGTGTGTGTGTGTGGGTGTGTGTGTGTGTGTGTGTGTGTGTGTGTGGGTGGGTGGGTGGGTGTGAGAGAAGAGGGAAGGCAGAGAATGTAGTTATTATTAATTACTGTCTTTCCTCACTATGAGTATACACGTATGTCTTTCCTCACTATGAGTATACACGTATGTCTGTATAAACACCTCGCACGTCTTTCATTCATTCATTTAAAATTCAAAATCTTTATTCATCAATAACTATGCATTTATAATGGTTTATATAAATTATTTGTATAATATTTATTTTTACCCGAAAAGTTTTCATAATAGTCTGAACATAATTACAATTATCTACAGTATAATGAAAAAATTCTAGGCCAATAATGTAGAGATTCTCAGCACATTAAGAATAGTTTATACAACAGTAATTTATATAATTCAATCACTTTATTCATGCATTAGAGAGGCCAGGAGACATAAGATACCTTTGTAATCTACACATTAATATAGCAACCGAAGCTTCTACCGATCCTGAAGGCTCGTTTAAACGAAACTTGAATAAACAGATTGCTGAGAATTAGATGTCCATTACCAAAGAATGTAAATCAACGTTAATTCAGGTAAGGGAGCCGGTCGGCCGAGCGGACAGCACACTGGACTTGTGATCCTGTGGTCCTGGGTTCAATCCCAGGCGCCGGCGAGAAACCATGGGCAGAGTTTCTTTCACCCTATGCCCCTGTTACCTAGCAGTAAAATAGGTACCTGGGTGTTAGTCAGCTGTCACGGGCTGCTTCCTGTGGGTGGAGGCCCGGTCGAGGAACGGGCCGCGGGGACACTAAAGCCCCGAAATCATCTCAAGATAACCTCAAGATAGACGCCCAAAGCTGTTTTTTTCTTATTTCCTGAGGCCCTGTCACTTTTGTTGGTGTTCCATATTCTCATTCTGTCACTTATATTTTGTGACAGCGAAACCCGTTTATGGAACACGAATTTGGGTTCATCTGCTGATTGGTAGAGCGATGTTCTCGCTTCTTGCAAGGTCGGCGTTCGAGCCCTGGTGCCAGATTCACGAAGCACTTACGCAAGTACTTACGAACGTGTACATTTTTCCTCAATCTTTGACGGCTTTGGTTACATTTATTAAACAGTTTACAAGCATGAAAACTTGCCAATCAACTGTTGTTATTGTTATAAACAGCCTCCTGGTGCTTCGGAGCTCATTAACTGTTTAATAATTGTAAACAAAGCCGCCAAAGATTGAGAAAAGATGTACAGGTTCGTAAGTGCTTGCGTAAGTGCTGTCGTGAATCTGGCCCCTGGTTAGGTAAGTACCTGGAGATGTCTTCTACCACCTCCTTGAGGCTAAAAGTTATGTTGCTTTTCTTTACGAGTAAAAACAGAATCCTGCTCCTCAGTGTTGAATGGAGAGACGATTGTCCACACATTAAAACATTGATTGTAACCGTGATATATATGTGCTTCAGCCTACAGTTTAGACCTATTGTCTTATGTATGACCCTCTGTCCTGCGTGACAGTGAATACTAGCATTAACCTCAATTTAATAAGACTATCAAAATCCTCAGATTAGGCAAAATTGTAATTAATTTTGTCAATAAAGATGTTAATAATAATAACGATTGTCCCAATGTGTGTTCCCGCTTTTGTTTCTGCTTATCTTGGCTACCGACCAAGAATATATAGAGACATTCTAAGAGTTTGTTTATTAATCTGGGCTTTGACACAATCCTCGCTACTCCCCCACTCGCTGTCTCCCCCTCCTCAACTCTTATCACTAATCCACTCATTCATTCTTCTTTCGCCTGCCCTCTTATCTTCGTCCCAGCCTGTTCTACACCCCCATCCCAGCCTGTTCTACACCCCATCCCAGCCTGCCCCCCACCCCCATCCCAGCCTGCCCCCCACCCCCATCCCAGCCTGTTCTCCCACCCCCATCCCAGCCTGCCCCCCATCCCAGCCTGTCCCAGCCCCATGCCAGCCTGTTCTACCCCATCCCAGCCTGCCCCCCACCCCCCATCCTGTTCTACCTGCCTCCCACCCCCCCACCCCCCATCCCAGCCTGTTCTCCACCCCATCCCAGCCTGTTCTACACCCCCCCATCCCAGCCTCCCCCCACCCCATCCCATCTCGCAGAAGCCCAGAAGACAATAACATGACCAACATTTGTTTTAACTAAACTTTAACACACGTTCCGTTCAGGTTTTCACTACATTGGTGGTTTGCTTTCAGCCATAAAAAAAATTAAAGTCTCAAATCTTTGTTAAAACTTCTCTGATTGTAATTTAAACTTGTACAAGATATACGACGTGGCAGCGAGGCAGCTGGGAGGAGACAGTTCTGGGGTGTGTTAGTCACTGAAAAAATCCAATAATGTCGTTTCTTTGTCGATTGGAATAATGTTTTGGAGGTTCTGAGTCTTCTGTGGCGCTGCTGGTGCAGTTGTACTGGCTGTGGACGTCGCCTGGTGGCTGTTGACGTCGCCTGGTGGCTGTTGACGTCGCCTGGTGGCTGTTGACGTCGCCTGGTGGCTGTTGACGTCGCCTGGTGGCTGTTGACGTCGCCTGGTGGCTGTTGACGTCGCCTGGTGGCTGTTGACGTCGCCTGGTGGCTGTGGACGCCGCCTGGTGGCTGTGGACGCCGCCTTTGGTGGCTGTGGACGTCGCCTGGTGGCTGTTGACGTCGCCTGGTGGCTGATGACGTCGCCTGGTGGCTGTTGACGTCGCCTGGTGGCTGTTGACGTCGCCTGGTGGCTGTGGACGCCGCCTGGTGGCTGTTGACGTCGCCTGGTGGCTGTTGACGTCGCCTGGTGGCTGTGGACGCCGCCTTTGGTGGCTGTGGACGCTGCCTTTGGTGGCTCTGGACGCCGCCTTTGGTGGCTCTGGACGCTGCCTTTGGTGGCTCTGGACGCCGCATTTGGTGACTCTGGACGCCGCCTTTGGTGGCTCTGGACGCTGCCTTTGGTGGCTCTGGACGCTGCCTTTGGTGGCTCTGGACGCTGCCTTTGGTGGCTCTGGACGCCGCATTTGGTGGCTCTGGACGCCGCATTTGGTGGCTCTGGACGCCGCATTTGGTGGCTCTGGACGCTGCCTTTGGTGGCTCTGGACGCCGCCTTTGGTGGCTCTGGACGCCGCCTTTGGTGGCTGTGGACGCCGCATTTGGTGGCTCTGGACGCTGCCTTTGGTGGCTCTGGACGCCGCCTTTGGTGGCTGTGGACGCCGCATTTGGTGGCTCTGGACGCCGCCTTTGGTGGCTGTGGACGCCGCATTTGGTGGCTCTGGACGCCGCCTTTGGTGGCTGTGGACGCCGCCTTTGGTGGCTGTGGACGCCGCCTTTGGTGGCTGTGGACGCCGCCTTTGGTGGCTGTGGACGCCGCCTTTGGTGGCTGTGGACGCCGCCTTTGGTGGCTGTGGACGCCGCCTTTGGTGGCTCTGGACGCCGCCTTTGGTGGCTGTGGACGCCGCCTTTGGTGGCTGTGGACGTCGCATTTGGTGGCTGTGGACGTCGCCTTTGGTGGCTGTTAACTCAATATATAAATCATGTCACTTCTATAATTATATATTATCTTTATGGCTGTTAACCTCCTCAGGTGTTGGGTTTATATGATGCTTAAACTACACACTAGAAAGTGAAGGGACGATGACGTTTCGGTCCATCCTGGACCATTCTCAAGGCGATTCGAGCCACGGACCGAAACGTCGTCGTCCCTTTACTGTCTAGTGTGAGGTTTGGTCAACATATTTCAGTCACTTTATTGTGACTCCTCGTCTGCATTGGGTTTATATATTCCCAAACCCCATGTCTTCTCTGTATTCTTATGTGGTAACACGAAATCGTTAAGAATGTTCATTTAATTTTTTTACTATGTAAACACTTATGCATGTGTATAAATACATAAACACACACACCATACACACAGAGCACAACTAGGTGAGTACACACACAGTACACATGATAGAGCCCAATAGGCTCAGGAATCTATACACCAGTTGATTGACAGTTGAGAGGCGGGACCAAAGAGCCAGAGCTCAATCCCCGCAAGCACAAATACGTGAGTACAAATACGTGAGCACACATGTGCGCGCTTAAAGTTTCTCTCTTAAAAATTGATAGTTGATTATAATTTGCATTTAAGCGAAATTGGATCTGTGGCGACTTAGGACAAACTCATAGTCAACATTGTGGGGACGGCGGCTCAGTAGTGTGTGAGAGGGACACATAAGTGGGGGGAGGAGGAACCCCTGAAATAGAGAGGACCAAGTTTGGGTTATTTACATTCCACAGTGATGGCCTGTGAGCGACGTCTTGGACAATCTTGGTGAAATATAGTGACCTTACGAACACCGCCCCCCCACACACTACAGGAGCCTCCACACACTACAGGAGCCTCCACACTCCTCCAGAGCAGCAGCCTCCACACTCCTCCAGAGCAGCAGCAGCAGCCTCCACACTCCTCCAGAGCAGAGCAGCAGCCTCCACACTCCTACAGAGCAGCCTCCTCACTCCACTTGCCGATTAGCTCCCATCTGCATCTCTGCCACGGGAGGTAATTGCCTTTCTGCCCGCCAGGAGCCAGTGGAGCAGCATTTGATCTCAACTAAGTTGATTAGAGGCTCCTGGTACCGCAACACCAGCTTATGAGGCCAATTTGCTCGATTTGGTCGTCAAGTTCTGGTCGTTAAGGCGCTAACGAGTCGCTGAATATATCATGATTGGTCTTATTGGTTTTGAGATGGTTAATTCAGGTTTCTACTAATACCGCTACTTTCGTCTCTCGTAGCGACTGTCTGTCGGTCCCTACCGCCACTAAGCCTGGTAGTATTGACAGGCGTTACTCTCTCTGGTAAGGGAAGGTCAAGGGGTCAAGGTCAAGGGGTCACAAGGTCACAGGGTCGTCGTCTGTCGTGGGGAGCTATGAGACGGGGCAACAGGTGAGGCTCTCTCACACAATCGACTTGAGAATGGTCCAGGACGGACCGAAACGTCGTCGTCCCTTCACCTTCTAGTGTGTGGTCTGGTCAACAGGTGACGCTACCGTCAGTACTGCGGATCATGTGTGCCAAGAAGCGCTTATATCACGTACCGTCTGTACCGTATATGTGGGTTGTAGTGTCCTTCTGTTATTGAATGTTGTTGTTGTTATTAGTAAACAGTAGCAGCAGTCGACAGCAGCAGTAGACAGCAGCAGCAGTAAACAGCAACAGCAGTAGACAGCAGTAGACAACAGCAGCAGTAGACAGCAGCAGCAGTAGACGGCAGCAATAATAGTACCAGCAGCAGTAGCTATATTTAAGCTCCGTATATATAATATTATTGGAACATTTGTACATAAAAAAATTTAAAAAGAAATTTAAAAATTTGTTATGAATGTATATAGTTTTTACAAAACAGCTTTAACACAGTGTTATCACTTTTGTCTTTTCAGTACTACGATAGTGTTAGTTTTCAAATTTCTGAAATGATTTACTTCCACTATTATATATTATGATATATTAATACTCAGAAACTTTACCCTCTGCCATACGAGGCTTGAGACGGCAGTAGAAAGACCACCTTGGATAGGGACAGTTTGATAAGACGGTGATGGATGTGTAAGTCGAACCCTGTTTCTCCTGCATGCTGGGCAGGTCGACCATAAGAGTCCTGCAGCCTTGACTGTGAAAGAGTATATATGTGTTTACAGTGAAATACATTGTAAATATTTCTTCATTTTCAACCCTGTGTGTGTGTGTTTACTCACCTAGTTGTGCTTACGGGGGTAGAGCTCTGGCTCTTTGGTCCCGCCTCTCAACTGTCAATCAACTGGTGTACAGATTCCTGAGCCTACTGGGCTCTATTATATTTACATTTGAAACTGTGTATGGAGTCAGCCTCCACCACATCACTGCCTGATGCATTCCATTTGTTAACTATGACACTGAAAACGTTCTTTCAAACGTCCTTTCTGCGTGCGTGCGTGCGTGTGTCACGCGGCATCGACAGCCACACTAAAGTTGGTCGAAAGTCTGTTGTCATACACCGTCGAAAATCAATGTATTTATACAAGAGATCTGGTATGATAGTGGCAAGGGTGCTTGGACGTTGACATTAGTCTCGGGCCACAAGATCTTCCTATTCAGCGGCCGAATGTTCTTGAGTGGAACCTGACTGGTTTCTCTCCCCAAAGCCAAGTTGTTGGAGTTGATTCAGTCTCTTGATTTGTTGGGATGGTCAGTGTGGTGGAGGCGGTCAGGTGGGCTCAGAGGCCCACATGTCAGGGAGACTTTGGTCGCGTCTGGCGTGTAGAGGTGCATCTCTGAACTCTCTCGAGGCTCAACTTTGTATGTTTATGCTTGTGTTTTTACTTTTATCTCGTTTTTTTTTTTGTTATCTTTGTGTGTCTCTCTCTCTCTCTCTTTCTCTCTCTCTTCCCTCTCTCTCTCTCTCTTCTCTCTCTCTCTCTCTCTCTCCTCTCTCTCTCTCTCTCTCTCTCTCTCTCTCTCTCTCCTCTCTCTCTCTCTCTCTCTCTCTCTCTCTCTCTCTCTCTCTCTCCCTCTCTCTCTCTCTCTCTCCTTCTCCTCCCCCTCCCCTCCCCCTCCCTCCCTCCCCCTCACCTTCCCTTTCCTCCCCCTCACCTTCCCTTTCCTGCCCCTCACCTTCCCTTTCCTCCCCTCCCCCCCCCTCCCCCCCCCCCCCCTTCCTTCTCTTCAGAAGAGGAGGCTGTTTGTATGATAATCCTTGTGATTGACGAGTTTGTTTACATTCGAGTCTGTGACCCACTGAAAAGAAGTTCTATAATTTTTGTCTTTTTTTATTTAAACTGAAATTAAAAACTGTGAATGATTATTGCAATGATATATTAACTGTTAAATGCGAGTTGTTTGCTATTAGTGGTACAGTGACACCGTTGGTATGGTCTGAAAGTTGCCTTGAGGTAAGACGGTTACCTTGAGGTGATTTCGGGGCTCAGCCGCCTTGCGGCCCGGTTGACGTTGTCCTAGGCAGTGACACTGTTGGTGGGGGTTCTTAAGGTAGGTCCTGTGATTCTTGTGGTGTGTCTTGTATGTATATTACTCGTCTCAGTGGTCGGGACACACTGTAATATTCGAGGAAAAGGGATCATTGCTTCTCTGTTACTCGATGCAGTCCGCCTCTTCGAGTCCCTTTCATTACTGTCTTGTACCAAATACTCGTAGTTCAGTCATTGCTGTTCCTATTAGCAATTTTTTTTTATGGTTCACTGTTTTTCTTAAGAAAATTTTGAATTGTTTGTCTTCTATGATCTAATGGAATGCTTTCTCATTTGTCCTATTTCCTTTATCTTGTAAAATTAGTTCCTAGTTTTCAGTCGTGATATGGCTTTGTATATTTTTTTTTATCTAAATAAACAGATCGAAATTGTTGACCAAACTACACACTAGAAAGTGAAGGGACGACGACGTTTCGGTCCGTCCTGGACCATTCTCAAGTCGAATGTGCTCATTCGACTTGAGAATGGTCCAGGACGGACCGAAACGTCGTCGTCCCTTCACTTTCAAGTGTGTGGTCTGGTCAACATATTTCAGCCACGTTATTGTGACTCCTCGTCTGCAGAACTAAATTGTTTACACTTTATTTCTGGTTTTATACATTCGTGCCATTTCAAATTTACGAGATGAAAAGGAAATGGAATAAACTCAATCTACTTAGTGTTCCAATCGTCTCTGCTTGAGAATGTGTGCGCCCAGGCACTTGCTTACTGCTTGAATAAAGATGAGTTCGTGAGTCTAGCCAGGTATACGAGGGGTGTTACCGTCAGCTCTGACAGTATATTTGGCCCTTCCTACCAATACCCAGGGAAATATCCTGCCTGAGGAAGCCATCACATGCTTAGCCACAGGGAGAACACCCTACGGGCTCACCATAGCCCGTGCTGCTTGGAACTTTTTGTTCCAGGTAGCGAATCTTAAACAACAACTCGGGGAGAAGCTCTCCCTTCCGATCTTTTTTTGTACACTCTCGGAATTGAAGTTCGAAATATGCCTCTGTTAATATTCACCTCTTTCAGATACATGAGTATAGCACTATACGAAGATAACTTTTTTCGAATATATATGTAGTATATATCAATTTAATCTCCGTATATGTATATATATCCAGCTTTCTTCTCATTTGCCTAACAAAAGAGTCTTTTCAGAGTTGACTCTGCAGCCTCCATTTGATCTGGCGGCCATTTGCATGAGGAACAAGGAAGAGGAAATCAAATTCCGGGTTTTTACAATCCTTCTGTAAGAGCGTGTCTTTGCATTTCGTCAGCTTGACAGACAACTCCCAGGGATCTTGAGTGCAATATTTTCTTCAGTTGGGCAAAGTCAGCGGTAGTTGTGGGGTGGGGGGGGGTAGGGGCTGTTGCTGTTGCTACTGCTGAAGTTGTTGCTACGTCAGCAGAAAAGATGGAAATGAGTAATGGACGCGAGGATATATTCGTGTGCATTACGGCTGATCAACAAGTGAACTGAAAGAGGAGGTTCTGGAAGCCACCTCAGCCACCACGTAGTTAGGAAATAGGGAGAAAATGATCGCCTGCTTATGAGAGTTCATGTGGGTGTATTATATTTGGTAGACACGAAATTGAGTAGCAATAAGCAAGAATAAAGGGGGGGGGGTAGAAATAGCCTAAGCTGCTACTATTCCTCTGAGATGCATTTCTTTCTTGTCTCAATAAACATACTTGAAGACCACACACTAGAAGGTGAAGGGACGACGACGTTTCGGTCCGTCCTGGAGCATTCTCAAGTCGATTTTAGCCACGTTATTGTGACTCATCAAGCAACATGCTTGAACTTGAGTAGAATACACACGTGTACACACACACACACACACACACACACACACACACACACACACACACACACACACACACACACACACACACACACGCACACACACACGCACACACACACACACACACACGCACGCACGCACGCACGCACACCTCTCCAGGAGCTGCCATCCTTGGCTCAGGACTTCAGAGCGGGAAAATTGACGTTTCATCTGCCAAATTAGAGAGCGAAGACCGGCAGACTTAAACTTTGCGCCTCGTGTTCCCCTGAGAGCTGACCTGACAGCTATTTCCCCAACATTTAATTACGACTAACCATTGTTCGTGTTTTTCCCTGAGTGCCAAGACATGAAATTTAGTTTGTCCGGTGTTTTCAAAGTGCTCAATTTCTGATGTGGAAAGAGATCCGGAGAAAGGGAGGGAGAGAGAGAGAGGTTGTATATATGGAAGATGCGAAGAGGGCGTAGGTAAGAAAGAGGGAAAGAGGGCGTAGGTAAGAAAGAGGGAAAGAGGGCGTAGGTAAGAAAGAGGGTAAGATGGTGCCTTAAGAACAAGCGAAGTATTAAGAGAGTGAAAGATGCAGGTGGAACTGAACAAAGCCCAAATGGCTTAGCCAGGTAGAGAGAGAGAGAAAAAAAAGGATTTTTCAGAAATTAGCTACGATGTGTGAAGTGGGAGAGACGTAGAGATTCGCCTGAGTTACGGACACAGGCTAAAGAGATCTTAATAAATGAGGATTAAATGCGCATTCCAACGGTGCTCAACTGTGGACTCCCATATGATCATCTGTAGGATAGGGAGGCGCTTGACAGCGGAAACAGTCAACTTAAGAAACACTGGGCTTAGTTTCACCTCCATCTTCTCGTTTCATACTCAAGTTTACCCTTCACTTAATACTCTTTTTCTCTATATGGAACTTAGTAAAGGCGTCCAAGTTTCTTTTAAAAGTGTATAGCTATTTCCCACTATTGTTATATGACCTGAATACTTTTGCTTCCGCTGTTTGTGAAAGAGAATGTGAATGTAAGATTCAGTTTGCAGTTCGCTTCGTATATTTTTAGTCTATGAATATCCAAATTTAATTAACGCGTTTGATTCAGCGAGTTTCACTCGTCCATTGACCGTAACGTTTGTGCTAGTTCTTGTACTGCTGGTGGCCCACCTTGGTGCTGGTGGCCCACCTTGGTGCTGGTGGCCCACCTTGGTGCTGGTGGGCCACCTTGGTGCTGGTGGGCCACCCTGGTGCCGGTGGCCCACCTTGGTGCCGGTGGCCCACCTTGGTGCCGGTGGCCCACCTTGGTGCCGGTGGCCCACCTTGGTGCCGGTGGCCCACCTTGGTGCCGGTGGCCCACCTTGGTGCTGGTGGCCCACCTTGGTGCCGGTGGTCCACCTTGGTGCCGGTGGCCCACCTTGGTGCCGGTGGCCCACCCCGCCCGGTGGCCCACCCCGCCCTGTGGCCCACCCCGGCCGGTGCTGCCAACGGGTATTAATAATAATAATGTTCACTATTAATTAGTGAACGTTTTCTGGAGTTTCTGAAGCACGTCCCCCCCCCTCCTGTGACTTCCCCCCTCCCCCCCTCCCCAATCATTGTCCTCCCCTCTCCCCCCCCCCCTCTCTCTCTCCCCCCTCTCCCCCCTTCTCTCCCCCTCTCCCCCTCTCCCCCCTCTCAAAGACTCGTCCACTTTAGTTAGAGTTAACGAACCGTTAATTAGTGGAGAATTCCTGAATCCTCTAATTTATATTTTTATCTGGGATTAGTTAATCTTTTGAGATAATCACGATTCCTTCTCCCACTTCATGGTCGTCCGGGTACATGGTCGTCCAGGTACATGGTCGTCCGGGTACATGGTCGTCCAGGTACATGGTCGTCCGGGTACTGTCAGCTCCATGGTTCTCCCCTAGAACATCATCTGCCAATCGATTTACATCCAGGTCATCAGGAAATAAATGTTGTACCCAATCTTATCATCCTAATCAGGGATCGAATCCCAATCATTGTCGCTTGCGAGATGAGGAAATGTGGGCATTAATCTTGATAGCACAAAGTGAAATTATTCTCGATTATCATCTCTTAGTTAAACGAGATGAGATGTTTGTGTTGTGTTAGCAGTAAAATAGGTACCTGGGTGTTAGTCAGCTGTCACGGGCTGCTTCCTGGGGGTGGAGGCCTGGTCGAGGACCGGGCCGCGGAGACACTAAAAGCCCCGAAATCATCTCAAGATAACCTCAAGATAGTCGTGTATGGAATTTAGCTTTCTCAATATTGTTCAGCAACGACTAGATAAAGGCTCAAGACGGACTAAAGCTATCTTGAGTTATCTTGAGATGATTTCGGGGCTTAGCGTCCCCGCGGCCCGGTCCTCGACCAGGCCTCATTTTCCTTACACACACACACACACACACACACACACACACACACACACACACACACACACACACACACACACACACACACACACACACACCCACCAGGAAGCAGCCCGTGACAGCTGTCTAACTCCCAGGTACCTATTTACTGCTAGGTAGCCGGGAACATCAAAATTAAAAAACCTCTGCCCATTTGTTTCTGCCTGCACCCGGGATCGAACCTTAAGACTACAAATCTGAAGCGCTGTCCACTCAGCTATCAGGCCCCTCACTTTCTATCAGGTCGTCACTTTCATTTCGTGTTATTACCCTATCCCAGTGCGTTCCTCTCACCCTGTCCATGGAGGACACAAGAAAATGTATATATTCTGGTTAGCATTGTAAATGTCCGGCCACGTCTGTGGTAGAAAAAAATGAATTACACAACGTATGTGTTTACAAGCATTAATAAGAAAAACAGAAAAGGTAAACAGGAACCCAATTGACTGAGGGATCCCAAGTATCATAATATTGCCAATTGATACAGAAATGGATATATTATTGTGGCAGGAAGCCAGTGAAAGTGAGGAGAGTGTGATATGCCAGCACGGGCGTGTGAGGGCGCCCTTGTCCCCTCACTTTCACCACCCAAGTGTTGACAATAGTGTTCATCACATTACGAATGTGTTGTAGCACCTTCCCTATTCTTGTATTTTAAGACGGTGGATGCTTAGGAGGACGTGTGTTGAAGAGGGAAAGGGATGTGAAGGGGCTAGGAGGGAAAGGGATATGAGGGGGGCTAGAAGGGAAAGGGATGTGAAGGGGCTAGGAGGGAAAGGGATGTACTCACCTAGTTATGCAGACGAAGAGTCACAATAACGTGGCTTGAAGATACGAGAGCTAAACCACATTTTCCTCGAATAGCATCATCACAATCGACTTGAAAGTGGTCCAGGACGGACCGAATCGTCGTCGTCTCCTCATCTTCTGGTGTCTTGAGGTTATCTTGAGATGATTTCGGGGCTTTAGTGTCCCCGCGGCCCGGTCCTCGACCAGGCCTCCACCCCCAGGAAGCAGCCCGTGACAGCTGACTAACACCCAGGTACCTATTTTACTGCTAGGTAACAGAGGGCATAGAGTGAAAGAAACTCTGCCCATTGTTTCTCGCCGGCGCCTGGGATCGAACCCAGAACCACAGGATCACAAGTCCAGCGTGCTGTCCGGTTTAGTTCTCACCTAGTTGTGCTTGCGGGGGTTGAGCTTCGGCTCTTTGTCTCCACCTCTGTGACTAGGAGTGGTGAAGGGGTGTGTGTGTGTGTGTGTGTGTGTGTGTGTGGTGTCAGTATAATCCGTCGATTTTGTCTTCCGTCTGGAGCTAAAATTATGTATTTCTCCTAATAAAACAGAAAAGCCAACAATATGGCCCAATATTGCTGTAAATTTTGTATTTTACAAACATGTTTAATTGAATTTGTGGAGGACGTCTCTCCCGCCGTAACGCATCCCCGCACTGGACGACCAGGGGGGATAACTGGAGGGTCGTTATCACTGGAGGGTCGTTATCACTGGAGGGTCGTTATCACTGGAAACTCCTGGGTATCACTGGAGGCTCCTGGGCACCACTGGAGGCTCCTGGGCACCACTGGAGGCTCCTGGGCACCACTGGAGGCTCCTGGGCACCACTGGAGGCTCCTGGGCACCACTGGAGGCTCCTGGGCACCACTGGAGGCTCCTGGGCACCACTGGAGGCTCCTGGGCACCACTGGAGGCTCCTGGGCACCACTGGAGGCTCCTGGGCACCACTGGAGGCTCCTGGGCACCACTGGAGGCTCCTGGGCACCACTGGAGGCCCCTTGGCACCTCCGGAGGCTCCTGGGCACCACTGGAGGCTCCTTGGCACCACTGGAGGCTCCTGGGCACCACTGGAGGCTTCTGGGCACCACTGGAGGCTTCTGGGCACCACTGGAGGCCCCTTGGCACCTCCGGAGGCTCCTGGGCACCACTGGAGGCTCCTGGGCACCACTGGAGGCTCCTGGGCACCTCCGGAGGCTCCTGGGCACCACTGGAGGCTCCTTGGCACCACTGGAGGCTCCTGGGCACCACTGGAGGCTTCTGGGCACCACTGGAGGCCCTTTGGCACCTCCGGAGGCTCCTGGGCACCACTGGAGGCTCCTGGGCACCACTGGAGGCTCCTGGGCACCTCCGGAGGCTCCTGGGCACCACTGGAGGCTCCTTGGCACCACTGGAGGCTCCTGGGCACCACTGGAGGCTTCTGGGCACCACTGGAGGCTCCTGGGCACCACTGCAGGCTCCTGGGCACCACTGGAAGGTCGTAGGCACCACTGGAGGCTCCTGGGCACCACCGGAGGCTCCTGGGCACCACTGGAGGCTCCTTGGCACCACTGGAGGCTCCTGGGCACCACTGGAGGCTTCTGGGCACCACTGGAGGCTCCTGGGCACCACTGGAGGCTCCTGGGCACCACTGGAGGCTCCTGGGCACCACTGGAAGGTCGTAGGCACCACTGGAGGCTCCTGGGCACCACTGGAGGTCGTAAGAGTAACGAGAGAGCGATGCACTAAGCAGTAACGCGTGTGACGTCACAGCTCACGTAAGTGGAGCACGTAAGTGGTTTTCTGGATTAATTCCCCCGGTGATGAGCGTATCGGGTGTGAGCTTAATTAATGAGGTAATTAGCGGTAATGTGATTGATCTCATTATGCCTAACCGAATTTGCCTAGACAATAGCACAATAGAGTTTGTATTAAATTATTAGGATCGTCTTGCTTACGTTAATATATTGATCTGAAATAGAAAATTAGAGTCCATTTACCAGCATTTTAGAAGCATTATAATATTATAATATAGGTTATTTTTTTTGTAATGTGTATTTTATATTATTTTTAGTTTTTGGGTTTATAATCTTGTATATAAATGCAGATAATTCACCAGATTCTTAATGTTGTTTAGATAAAGATGTCTAGTAAGGACAAATCCACAAGGGCCGTGACGAGGATTCGAACCTGCGTCCGAGAGCATCCCAAACGTTGCTTTAATCGACTGAGCTACGACATGGTCAGAGGAGTAAAACCCTGGTTTGTGTCTCGGAGAGGCTGCAGGATCCAGTAAGTTCAGTAGAACTTCGGTTTCAATTCCTTTTGACCCCGTCGTAGCTCAGTCGATTAAGACAGCGTCTGGGATGCTCCCGGACGCAGGTTCGAATCCTCGTCACGGCCCTTGTGGATTTGTTCATTTGATGCATCACGCAATTTCCATTGTTTCTCGCCGACGCCCGGGATCGAACCCGGGACCACAGGATCACGCGTCCAGTGTTCTGTCCGCTCAGCCACCGGCTCCTGATGACTGTTATATGAATTTCTGGCTTGTTCGGAGACGTTCAGAAGGTCTTCTAGAGACGGAAAGTGTGCAGAGTGTCTTGTTAAAAATGGAATAAATAATATAATAAAGTTCCCAATCTTGACCAAATCAGAGAAGTCTCCTGAGACAACCTCGGAAAGTCATTTAAAGTTCAAGAGACTTGAAATAAAGTTGTGTATGAGATGGATGTTAATCCCGACCTGTGGTAGCAGACTGTGGCCTTTAAGACCTCAGTCTTTGCTTTGACCAGTCCCGCGAGACCTCGGCCTGGGCTTTGACCAGTCCCGCGAGACCTCGACCTGGGCTTTGACCAGTCCCGCGAGACCTCGACCTGGGCTTTGACCAGTCCCGCGAGACCTCGACCTGGACTTTGACCAGTCCCGCGAGACCTCGATCTGGGCTTTGACCAGTCCCGCGAGACCTCGACCTGGGCTTTGACCAGTCCCGCGAGACCTCGACCTGGACTTTGACCAGTCCCGCGAGACCTCGACCTGGACTTTGACCAGTCCCGTGAGACCTCGACCTGGACTTTGACCAGTCCCACGAGACCTAGACCTGGGCTTTGACCAGTCTCGCGAGACCTCGACCTGGACTTTGACCAGTCCCGCGAGACCTCGGCCTGGGCTTTGACCAGACCCGCGAGACCTCGTCATCATCTGTAATATTTTGGGGTAATATCAGGGGTCTGGTAGCTGAGTGGACAGCGCGCAGGACACGTAATTCTGTGGCCCAGGTTCGATTCCCGGACCAGGCAGAAACAAATGGGCAAAGTTTCTTTCACCCTGATGTCCCTGTTATCTAGTAGTAAATAGGTACCTGGGAGTTAGACAGCTGTTAAGGGCTGCTTCCTGGGTGTGTGTGTGTGTGAGTGGAGAATAACAATTAGTAGTTAATAACAGTTGATTGATAGACAGTTGAGAGTTGATTGATTAACACACTTCTCCCCCCTCCCATGTATCCTTCCCCCCCCCTCTTCCACACCTTATCCACAGCACCTTATCTATCAAACTTCTCACCTGCAATAATGTTGAAGCCTGTTTTGTATTTCAAGCCCCTTACTTACTGTCCTGTACACAGTAACTTTCCGGTCATTTTAAGGGCTAACTTGTTGCCTGTGAGAGTTTGTTTCTAGTTAATGTCGTCTGTCATTCGTCCAAATTAACTTCCGAATCGATACATCAATTTCTCAGGTCAGGTTATGGGCTGTTAAAGTTGACCATTTACATCAACTATCATGCAGGCGATGAGTCACAATAACGTGGCTGAAGTATGTTGACCAGACCACACACTAGAAGTTGAAGGGACGACGACGTTTCGGTCCGTCCTGGACCATTCTCAAGTCGAGATTAGTCCAGGACGGACCGAAACGTCGTCGTCCCTTCAACTTCTAGTGTGTGGTCTGGTCAACATCAACTATCATATTTAAATTCTTGGGAAAGTTTGCAAAATAGGTCTGTAAAGATCTTTTAAAACCCCGTAACCAGCCTGTCAGGCAAGACGGCCTGCCATCGTGGCCTGTTATGCTGTCATAGCAAGAAATTAGACAGTGGTGTAATTACCGTCTTGGCAAGATCCATATGCTGTACGTCATTTTAAGCACACGTAATTTTAGTAATTTAGGTTATTTATAATGTTATATATTTTGGTTATCCTTATGTATTTCTGTCATAGAAATTAGACCTCCACGATTGTGTCGATCAGATATCAGGAGTCTCATACTAAATATATATATATTTTTTGATACGTGTAAATGATAAGTATTTTGTTATACTAATGTTGCCAAACATGAGCTTTTATTATCTCTAGCTTAACGTGGTTGAAAAATTGTTGCTTAAACAAACGATATTTTGCGGAATATAATATATTTTTGCTTCTTTTTTCGCATTTAATCGGCAGTAATAACTCAATTTTTGACAACGGGTGTAATGATAAACAGATACATCATCTGTGTATACTAATTTAACATCAGACGGGGGTTTATATTAGAGATTTCAACTTGGTAACATGCTATTGTCACCACATAAGATATAATTACTTTAAATTTGGTACGAGAAAATCTCCCACAAAATCAAATGGTTTCAACTTATTTAACCAAACAAAAATGACTTTCTGGGTTATAATTTGGTGGGATTGGCAGTATGTCTCGCTTGTTCTGAAACATAATGACAGCTCTAGCAATTGCTTATTCATCCGCTACAAGTAATTCAGTGTATGGTGCGTTGCTCGTTTCGTTAATGACGTCCAGTAATGACAGTTAACGGGCAGAAACTCGGTAATGATTGTTAATTCAACCCCGTTATGATAATGACATACTTCATTGTGACACACCCGACAGTTAATGAGACAGACAGACAGTAAGGACAGTTATAAAAGACATAAACCGTCTTATGACAGTTATTGACATTCAGCAATGTCAGATAATGACAGTAACATATATATATATATATATATATATATATATATATATATATATATATATAATATATATAATAATATATATATATTATTTATATATATATATATATATATAAATAATATAAAAATATAAATATATATATATATATATATATATATATATATATATATATATATATATATATATATATGTATATATATATAATATGTATGGCAATGTGTGTGTCTGAGGGAGGCCAGAAGCTTGCGGCTAGTTTCACCCAATTTTTCCCAGTAATTGCAGTTGGGTATGTGCCGAACATGGGTGGGCCAGGATTAGTGTCAATGAAAACAGTGATACGTGAAAGATTCAGTGATCAATGAAGTTCTGCTTGCAAGAGAGCGGAGCTCATTGGCCGGAAGACAGCGGCAGGTTTGCGGACACCCAATCAGAATACAGTATTTTTTAATTCATTTAGTTAATTTATGGTAATTGTAAACACCTCGATGCTTACGTCAGATTTTATGTAACTTGGTAGACGTCGGCTGTAACAGCGCTTGTAATCCTAATTTGCTTGTTCGACTGATTTTCGTCAGTTGAAATCAATTATGGAAAATTTTCGACTAGCGCCGTTGATTTCTTCCTATTTACATAACGTAATTATGCTCGTTAGTTCATCCGCTTGTTACAGTCTTGGACAAACACATTAATCTGTTCACGCCAAGTTACCTAAATCCTTCCCCTGCCTTCCCCCTTTTCAGTAGTGAAGTGAACAAATCCACAAGGGCCGTGACGAGGATTCGAACCTGCGTCCGGGAGCATCCGGACGCATTCCGGATTTTAGAATAGAACCAGTGAAGAGCAGAGGTGCCATAGGCACAATCAGAGAACACTGTATAAACATCAGAGGTCCGCGGTTGTTCAACGTCCTCCCAGCAAGCATAAGAAATATTGCCGGAACAACCGTGGACATTTTCAAGAGGAAACTAGATTTGTTCCTCCAAGGAGTGCCGGACCAACCGGGCTGTGGTGGGTATGTGGGCCTGCGGGCCGCTCCAAGCAACAGCCTGGTGGACCAAACTCTCACAAGTCGAGCCTGGCCTCGCGCCGGGCTTGAGGAGTAGAAGAACTCCCAGAACCCCATCAACCAGGTATCAACCAGGTATCCCAGACGCTGCCTTAATCGACTGAGCTACGACATGGTTAAAAGAGTTAAAACCAAAGTTGTACTGAACTTAAGTTCAGTAGTGAAGGGTTTACAATACCCACAGGAGATTTAATTCGCTTAATATATCTGACTTTGTTTTAGTAGGTGGAAAAAGGTGTCACTTTGGACAAGCGGAAATATCTATTTCTTGCAGACGAGGAGTCACAATAACGTGACTGAAATACGCTGACCAAACCACACACTAGAAAGTGAAGGGACGACGACGTTTCGGTCCGTCCTGGACCATTCTCACAATCGACTTGAGAATAATGGTCCAGGACGGACCGAAACGTCGTCGTCGTCCCTTCACCTTCTAGTGTGTGGTCTGGTCAACATATTTATTTCTCGTCAGGTAATTTTGACATAAGGACTAAATGACCTTAAACAACACAAACGCCTCGTTTCTCTGGTGAGATACGAACCCCTTCCTTACTTCCTCTCACCTGAGTGAGAGTCGTAAACACACACACACACCCTCAGGTATTATCATACTGGGCTACAGTATTAGCGTTTGGAAAAGTATTACTGGGGGGACATGGGGTGGGGGGAGGGGGGGGGGGGTAACGTGTAGCGGTCGGTACGTGAACTCCAACGTGCCCCCC